TGTTTGTGTGTATGTTTGTGTGTGTGTTTGTGTGTGTTTGTGCGTGTGTGTGTGTTCGTGTGTGTGTGCGTGTTCGTGTGTGTGTGTGTTTGTCTGCGTGTGTTTGTCTGCGTGTGTTTGTGTGTGTGTTTGTTTATGTGTGTGTTTGTTGTGTATATGTGTGTGTGATTGTGTGTGCGTGAGTGTGTCATAGAGAGAGAGAGCGAGAGAGAGAGAGAGTGTGTGTGGGGGGGGGGTCACAAAGTAACAGAAGCACTAATATAAAGGTCTGGATATTCGGAAATTAGCATTTAGTCAAGACGAGAAAGTATCTGACCCATTATACCATTCTTTATTTTTACCACAGTCAACTCAAAATGGATTATTGATGCCTTATCTTGACCGAAGCTGCCCAAATCATCACTTTCCAGCCTTGACCCAGTTCAAAAAACATTTACGCGGCCCTTTCCAGCCTAATATTCCTTTCCCACGGGCGGACCGTCGGTAGCCTATCGCAACTCTACCCTTACTTACAAGTCAAATTGTTCCGCCAACCTCCTTTCTTTAGTGTCACCAGCTCAGATCTTTATAGGCAAGAACAGCCTTGCTACGTCCACATGGTTGAATCCCTTCCATCTCCTACATATTCCTTTGGCATCCTCTTAATTTTCAATAAAATAATAAAGTTCATATCGCAAACTTCATCCAGTAACTCTCTACCTTGAGTGGCTCATGGGCCTTGTGTTGGATGATATTTATTACAAATAAAAGACCGCAAAATCGTGAAGTGATAATATGATCAGTTCGGTTTTTTGAATTTCATTATACGAAAGGTCGTACATTTACAGCAAAGTGCATGAAATATGAACCTTTTCCACCGATTGACCGACTGTGATATGCCAATCAAAGACCAGATTTACCTGTACGTTTTGTGGGTAATATGCTTCTCTGATACTAGATATCAAGTTGAAGAGAAACACTTCCTTGCTTTTTCTTGTATGTCGACTCTGATTCTCCAAACACATCTGGGTTTAATTGATTTGAACAACGGGATCGTCTTTGATATGGAACCCAAGACTGTAATCTCTTGTGGAGGCTTCAAAGCTTTGAAGATCAATCATCGATTTTTTGAGAAAGGTGAACCAAAAACGTCTCGGATTCATGCGTGTCGATAAGATAAAAAATCAGATGATAATTACGTAGGAATGCAAGTATCATATTGAAAAATATCGAAACAAATTACTCACTGCTTGATATATTCGATGGTCAGAGCGCAGATTTCGCACCAGGAGAATTATAATCAACTTGATCTTTTAAAATATCCGCTTAATTCAGTATTTCTTTGGCTTGATCGGCTTAATCCTCAGCTGTTGTCATCTGTCAATAGGAGACAGTTTCAAGCTCAGATTTCATAAATGTTTGGGCTATTTACAAAGAACAAATAACACTTTTCTAGAAGACAGAATATATACAACTAATATATATATATATAAGTGAACATAGAAGTCAACACTTAGAGGCGACAGTCTGTTTCATGCTATATGCAATCGTCAGTGGCCTGAAACAGACTGTCGCCTCTAAATGTTGACTTCTATGTTCACTTATATTTACACACGCTCTATCTCTGATATTGAGCACTTTATCCCATAAATAATAAATATAGCACATCGTAAGACTATATTTCTTCATATATATATATATATATATATATATATATATATATATATATATATATAGTCATCCACAGACAGACTGTTTCGCTGTATCACAGCTCATCACTGTGAAAAGATATGCGATTACTTCATGACGGGATCGAGACCCGACCAATTTGACATCAGTTGGAGGATCTCACTTCAAGGCAATCAGCACACGCTAGGAAGAAAGGGAATTTTTACCACATAAGCATTATTTCTTAACCCGGTACGCCTTACCGCTTATCCACGAAGAACAGACAGCCAGACAAAGCCAATTTCATGCTTTCAAGCGAAATCTTTCCTGTCATAGATCTCTTGAAGTTTTTCATATATGCACATAGTTTCGTAAACAAATTGAATTTTTTTAGAATGGATTTTTATTAATCCAACAGTTTTTTTTATCACTTTAAACGTTATTTTTAGTGGAGCGCCTAATTAAATACAAATATCCACTTTGTCAACAAGTTAACAATAGTAACATTTCTATACCAAAGAAAAATCTTTTGAATGAGAGATCGGAATTTATGACTCGTTACACTAAAATGTTTGTCCCCTTCTATCACACTTCCCGTCGTGCGTTTATTTATTTATTTTTAAATAGTAAAGCGTTCATTATTTTGTTTAAAAAAATAAAGTTAGAATATCAACTGACGGGAATCGCTCGAAGATACCGAAAAATTCATTTTAATTCAAATAATTATATTGAAGTTTTCGGCTCTTGTTTTGAAACAGGAGAACTCTTACGTAGGATGGAATCATATTTTTAGATAAATAATTATATTTAGGCTCTACTTTTGTATCGAACACTATTTTTTTTAAATAATAAAAAGAATACTTAAGAACTTTGGATTATTTACCTAACGAGTTCTTTCCTATTTTCTATATATTTTACACACACACACACACACACACACACACACATATATATATATATATATATATATATATATATATATATATATTTCTGAGATGGGGTATTATGTACACTATTTAAATTATTCGGACTATTGTCCTCATCTTTGTCGCCATATTTACTACAATGTTTCGACCGTTGTACGCTCCGGCCTTGTACAGGTGGTTGGAATGTCGGACTGAACCCTTTATTTCGCTCACTGGGGTAGACTGTTCTAGTTCCAAGTGCCATGTTTAATGGATGTTAGTTATCAGTTAGGGGATTTAACAGGAGATAACTGATAACTGATATCCATACGTTTTTGTTCCTAGTTCTTCCACACCCCGTAAGCCATTCTCTATGAGTGGCTTGACTGCCTTGCTTGGGAGGAAATCGATTAAACAAAAAAGAAAAAAGAAATGTAAAAATGGCCATTGAATTCAACACCTAGCGGCGACAGTCTGTCTCATGCTTAGACACAATCTTCAGGCAATATGCGTTGCATTTTTGCTTGGCTACATATTTGTCTAGGTCAGTGACCTGTATATATAAATAGTCGAGCAAAAACACAACACTGACCTGGTCGATCCTTATGACGCCTTTATGTCGCGTTATGAAATGTGAACTGAGGTAAAGTTCACGGGACGTAAACTAGACATCGTAACGTGTATCAGATGTATGGGAGAATAATGTTGATATGAAACGGTTTTGAATCCAAAGTAGAATTTCTCCTAGACTGGCTGACATTCAGGGTTAGAGAGCTTAGTCTACCGTGACATTTAACCTAAGGGCATTTGAGCTAAAGTTAATGTAACAGACTAGGCCGGAATTTGAACTTGTCTCGTCGATTTCTCTTTCCATCCCGTTAACCGTTAAAAAAATCTTTTACAAAACAATAACTGACAAAGGTTCATCGGAGAAATTCTAATAATATATACAGTTAACGTTACTAGTTTATATAAGCAAAAAAGATAAGGCGTTTGGGAAAATTAAAGATATGCTAGGTTTTCATCTCTGTAATAGGTTAGTGATTGCTGAGAAATTTCCTGACTGAAGATGAGACAACTTGAGAAAATATAGATGGTTTTTCTCTTGTTGGGCGAATCATATACGCAACAAGGAAGTTTTAATGAATCTGGAAGCAAAAAAGAATAGATCTAGTATATAAAAGTTCTTTGCTTTATGAGCGGAGAATGTTTTGCCAGCAATCAAGCGTGATACAATTCAGGGAAAATGAAAAGAAGGCTCCAGACTGGAGTTTTCTGTCCGTAAAAGCGGAAATGTTTAATTTCCTATGATGTCTCTGGCAGACTTTCCAAGTTCATGCAAGACTTGTTCTTCTTTTCATTACTGGAGTCGCACATTCGTCACTATTGACTGCATAGCCACACTTGTTGATCATAAACACCGAACTTCTTTTTTTTTATTTAATAAATATTTACTTAATCAGCTCTTCTAGTTACTTCCAAACAGGAGAGGTACCTTTTGCTATACGCCAGAACAATTAAGCTTTTTTTTCAAAGCTGAACCCAGGACCGCCCTCTTCTGATTGCTAAATTATTTATTCATAAATTGGCTGTCAAGGAAAACACTGCGAAATTACTTAAGCGGCCACAGACCTCAAATCGTACAGTTTCTTGATTAATTCTAGTGTTGATGTGTTGTTAAATAAATTAGTTCATCGTCAGTCCCATGGGAGGGTATGGTCACTGTATAGCTGAGTACTTTATCGGTTCCCTCCACATGACTGGATTAAAGGCCGGACAGGTATTCCTTCATGTGTGGCATGTTTTGTACATGATGACCTGGCGGAGCCCATCTTTCTCCAGGTAAAACTACAGCTGATGTCGTCCAACTTGCAGGCTGTTCTTGGTCTTGGAAACCTGGTCGTTGACTCCATCGGGAGAAGCCCGTACCCTAGCCGTTGACTTCTGCCTAGGAATCCTTGCGTTGACTTCAATCTTGAAACCTGTTGTTCTAGATAGCCATTGACCATACAGGAAGTTTCATTCATCCTTTAACAGGTTTAGTTTTTTAATCCTGTTTGCTGTCTAGCCACATGTCTAGCCAAATGTCTATTGGGGGAACCAGTTTAATCAACAGTAACCTGACCATGCAGCAGATAGCATTAGGTTACATGGTACAAGTAATACCGGTGGAGGGACCTTACTTAAAAACGATTGATTGATTTGTTTCCTACGGCTTACCAATTCTCCGCAGGTTATTTAGATTGTAATAATTTTTATTATAATGGTTTTTAGTGATACACTAATACTATTTAACCCATAGTTAGAGGGAGAGGTGGATTCATACCTTTCCCAAGAGCATTTATGTGAAGAGCGTAAGTTAATATAACGAATACATCAGGAATTGGAACTCGGCTCTCCGATTAACAATTTCGAACCATTATCCATTATATCACTCGTACATCCAAGCTTACAGCACCTGTTATTCATTAGCGGTCACCCATCTAGGTATTGACCAGGTTCTGTGTTGCTTAACTTCGGTGATCGTAAGTGAACCGATGTTTCAACGTGATGTGGCTGTAAGCCTAATATTTAAAAAAAACTATTTATTTTCACATATTATCTGAATGATAATCTAAAATCATTTCCTCTTTTTAAGACTACAGGCAAAATTGTTAAGGGGTTTTGCAAAAGATCATTTAATAGCAATGTACTTAGAAACGGATTTAAGATAAAACAAGACAGTTTTGCTGACATTCGACATTCCGAAATCTTAACTTATTTCTCTTTTGTATTAAGATTACATGGTTCAGCTTTCCTCTTTGCCAAGCAGTTAAATTTTTATGGCTATAAGTTTTCATTACAGTGTTCCATACAGGCAGTTAAATTTTTATTGCTATATGTTTTCATTACAGTGTTCCATAGAGGCAGTTAAATTTTTATGGCTATATGTTTTCATTACAGTGTTCCATACAGGTAGTTAAATTTTTATGGCTATAAGTTTTCATTACAGTGTTCCATACAGGCAGTGAAATTTGTATTGCTATAAGTTTTCATTACAGTGTTCCATACAGGCAGTTAAATTTGTATTGCTATAAGTTTTCATTACAGTGTTCCATACAGGCAGTGAAATTTGTATTGCTATATGTTTTCATTACAGTGTTCCATACTGGCAGTTAAATTTGTATTGTTACAAGTTTTCATTACAGTGTTCCATACAGGCAGTGAAATTTGTATTGTTATATGTTTTAATTACAGTGTTCCATACAGGCAGTTAAATTTGTTTTGCTCTAAGTTTTCATTACAGTGTTGCATAAAGGCATTTAAATTTTATTGTTATAAGTTAAATTTGTAATGCTGTAAGTCTTCACAACAACCAGCCTACATTTTGATCTGTGAAAACTTCTCTTTCAGATAACACAATATTTCTTCGTGTATGCAATTTTTCTATGAGTGAATACAAATCTAAGCTGAAAGGGGGCGTAAGAGTGCAAATAAATTGAAGAGAATTGTAATGACAAAAGTAAGCAGGTGTAGCCGTTAAGAAAGCTTTATTCAACTGAAATTGCAAGATTTGCGTATAGTGTCCTTTTATAGTCCCAGTAAATAGAAACAGCTCTCTCAAAGAGGATAGTACCAAATCGTGAAAGACCACACTTGAGTATTCATAACAAGCATATGAAATAAGGAATAAAATTTCTATTAACAATGCTTTTTGCTAAAAAATGTTATACAAATTGTTGCAACGTAATAAACTGAATATTATATGTACTTACAGTTCGTTTGAATTTATTATGCAAATCACATAAATCTCAATAACTCAATGTTTAATCTAGCTAAAAAAAATGAACTCAAGCTTTGTTTTAATGTCTTAATGTCGTTTAAAATTTGACAAAAATTTTCTAAAGAAATTTGAGTTATTGAGGTTTATGTGATTTGCATAATAACTTCAGACGGTCTGTGAATCTACAATCTGTACGAGGTACTGTTGAAAAAAGTTCTGGGCCTGACCATTTAGTAAGTCCAAAAGCAAAAAATCTCATCTTTGATTTTCTGGTCACTTTTTTTACGTACTTTTCAGTATTCATCCATGCGGTAAATCCAAGGATTGACTCATATAAAGTCTCCATTTTTGATTCAAAGAACGCTCTAATTTTATTCACATGAATAAAGTGCAGCCCTTTTTTAATTTTTTTTTTTTTTTTTTTTTGAAATGCCATGTTCCCTTTCCTTCAGGACAGAAACTATTATGCTATTCATAGATTCATTTTCGTGAATTGTCATGACTTTTGGGGAAAGATAGTGGAGTGATTTCGCGTTGCTTTCTTCTTGACTGTACTATACACTAACGGATATCCCAGGTCAAGAGCAGCACCTGTCCATTTGTCAAATAACGTGCAGCACACATCTCACGATACAGCAGGGTTTCTCAACCTGGATGATATCGCCCATCGGTGGGCGATTTCAACTGTTGGGTGGGCGATGAGCAACTGAACAGAAAATAGTGAGAAATTGTAAATGTTCCTGATCGATATAGGATTTTGAATATTATAAAGGTATTTCAAGATATGCTACCCGAAAAAGTATCCAAAGGAGATATGCAAAGAACTCGTACACATAAAAGAAGAAACAGAAGGATAATGGGGATGATTGGGTCAAATTCCTAGATAAGATATAAATATCCCCGCAAGCGAATTTTTGTTTGCCAATTATCTATAATTTTAGAAGGGTCATTAACTTTCAAATAGTTATTGACAGAGAACGATAAATGCGACACTGAGATCCGTAGAGGTATTGGGATGGCCAAGGACGCATTCCAAAAGCTGGGCAGTGTATTGCGAGACAGGAGGATTTCTTTGGTTACGAAGAAAAGAATACTGAGAGTTATGTGACATCTGTCCTTCTCCATGGCAGCGAATGTTGGACGATTTCCTCAAAGTTGAAGCAGAGACTCGAGGCAACAGATATGTGGTTCTACAGAAGGATCCTAAGGATATCATGGACCGAGCGTGTGAGCAATGGTGAGGTCTTAGAGAGGATGTAAACAAGGAGGAGACTTATACTTAACATTAGGAAGAGGCAGCTGAAGTTTCTGTGACACATAATGAGGAAGGAGAGCCTGGAGAATCTGATACTCACGGGTCGAATAGAGGGAAAGAGAGACAAGGGAAAACAATGCATGACATAGCGGCTTTAAGCAAGTGGATGACAGAACATGGTCTGGGGGAGGTGGCAAAGGGATGGAACTTGTTGAGAGCTGCAAGGGATAGAGGGAGGTGGAGAGCCATGATCGTCTACGTCCTAAAAGGACACGGCACATGGAAAGAACGAAGAAATAACAAAGAACTACAAAGGAAAGGAAATTGTAGAGAACCATGATCGCCTACGGCCTGAAGGGACACAGTACACAGAAAAAGAATTTTAGTTTGTTTTTGAATATTTACTCTATAGGTGGGAGGTGGAAATTTTTTTCATGTGAAAGTGGGCGATCACGCAAAAAAAGGTCTGGGATGCCTGCGATACAGTCACCGATTCAGGCCGACTACGATTAACGCAAGAGAAACACATACATTCAACACTTTCGCTGCGTTAGATCTTCAACTGAATGGAATCACCTAAGTACAAATCATAAGAAAAACTTTTTTTTTTTAAAGTGCACTTTTAGACTACACTTCAATTACAGCCAATTAACAGCGCACCTGCAAGTCTTTTTTCACGTCAAAGATTTTCTAAATGACCCAAGATCTTTTCATACAAACAATCAACACAGCCTTTAAACAAAAAACAGTTGCAGATGTATTTATTAATATACATATTTTTGATGTGAAATTTTATTTGTTGCTTATACTTTCGAGTTGAGATGTCACTGAGTTCGACTTGCTTTTTGCTTTGTGAATTCTCTTACTGTGGTCGATACACTTTTAATGGTAGAACGAGGGACTGATGGGAGAGAGGTCTAAGCTTTATTCTCAGCAGTTTGATAATCGAAACTAACCATTAGAAATTGGGGTCGAAATCGTCACCTAAGTGTAAATCATTTTCCACAGATTTATATTGATTTGATCATGGGATCTCTATACGCCACCTTCTTCTGCGATTTTCTTGATGCGTTCGCTGTGCTCTTTTCCCGTCAACCTCTTCTTTCACTTTTTTCTATAAAAATGTTTTCTGGCAAATGAACATATTTTTCATGTTCCTGAGGTTGTTAATACAACGTTTCGGTTTATCTATCTGTCGAACTTCGTTATATGCACAATCTGCAAAAATGGTTTTAAAAATATATTTTTTAATGAAAAATCTTGGCATAAAAAACAGTAGATATTAATAATTTGATGATAATACGGTTTACAGGCTCGCTTACAAACATATGACCACAACCTGGTAATTTGACTCTCCACTGACCAGCCCAATGCAGATAAACTAGCTTGTAACTTTCAGTATCCACAAAATCGAATCTAGTAGTGTTTCATCCTTCACCAAGTAGAATTGAATTTTCTCCTGTTATAATAAGCGATCGCTTTGAATATCTATTGAGGCTTAAGTTCTGTTATGGGGTCCACCCCTTTTTCATACAAGTGGACTCGACCAGTGTGTACTTGGATGTTGCTGGTGAATACCCGGGAGTGAGACAGTGAGAGAGTGAGAGTGTGAGGTAACCGCTTTGTAGGAGTCACAGTTGCGAGCACGTAGACGCAGAAGGAAGTCATAATTCGATACTGAATTTCCCAGACTATATATATATTATTATTATTGCTACTAACCACATTTCTGGATCTACTAACCGTATTACCAATTGTATTATTACGTCAATACATTTATTTGCTATATTTCATTCCTGCTTTTGTCATTCATTGGAGACCGGATTTCATCTTGGAATCCACAACAAGTTCACCTCCTGACTTCAAGTGAAAGTCATGTATGATCCATCGCTAGAAGAATGATCTGTTCCTTGTATCGCTCCAGAAAATACCTATCACCTGCTGCTATGCTCCATCTTTACAAGTCGGGTCAGACAAAAAACGGTTCATTGCTGGGGTGGGGCTGCCCAACCCTCACTTTTTAGCCTTGATAGGGTTGAAAATCGTTTACGCGGCCTTGTGGGTGATGAATTATTTTCCACCTTGCAACCCTTATCTCACAGACAAAACACTGTTAGCCCTTCTCTACTCTATCGTTATTACTATAGAAAAAGTTCTAATGCTATACATTCCATAGTTACACCAGTCCAGACATTCACGACTAGGACCGGTCATGCCATGTCGACGGTGGAAAATCATCCGCATTCGTCTCATATGTATTTCATAATGAGGAAGTTCCACTCAGACAGCCTTTATCCAGAACTGTTACTTTATGGAACAGACTCCCGTGAGGAATCTTCCCCGACCACTGCTAGTTTAACCTCTTCATTGTCTATCCTAAATATATTCGTACTATAAACTTCCTGTTTCTTTTTCTCTTGTAATGATCCAACTCGGTAACACACTACCTGGAGTGACCCTTGGCTGACAAAAGTAAAAAAGAAAAAAAAGAAAATTCTAAAATCCTAGTTTCGCCTAGTTTTTGTCTGACCCGACTTGTAAA